CAGAGAAATGAGACTATAAACTCAACACTGTGAGTCATTGTGATAAACAAGAGGAAGACATGTTGTAAGCGACCGTCTATTGACTGGGCCATCCATGTGCATAATCAATCCCCTGACAATGAAGACAGAGGAAGAGAGGAGGAGAGCAGAGTGAAGCAATAATGACACCTTCCATTAAGGAGTAAATGACCAGGAAATCAACAGATGAGGACTAAGGCTAGTATAGTTCCCGCAGTGGAACGATTTTGGGGTTATTTGGTTTTGTTTTCTTTTGTTTTCCTAACAAAAAGAAGAGGGAAAATGGAAGAATAATCTGGAAATGTAGGGAGACTGTTGCCCACAAGTGAGAGTTCTTTAATTTTCACTCAAAGTCACTAATATGATTAGCTCTAGTGTAATTGTTACTCAAGAAATGGGTTCAAGGAAAACAACTGGCACAGAGTATTGTAAGAGAGGAGATGGGAATGGTCCGAAGTTAGCAGTGGGATTTCTGTGGGATCATCAGCAAATGATGGACCATTTTAAAAGTCTCTTCCTTTGGGTCCTTCACACCCAGGCTGGGTGATGTGTTAACCACTTCTTCTTCACCACACCAGACAAAGCGAGTTTTGAAATCCAGCTGACAATCATGCATGTTGTATTTTCTCATCTTTGCCAGTTCTAGTCTCTTCTCTTTCGCCCAAGGATTGCTTTTTAAAACTTTTCACTAAAACTGGGCTTTTTCTCAGGGATGATAGAGAAGAGGAAAACTAAAGAGAAGAGAGAGTTTGTTATTCTAGATATAGCTGAACAAGTGAGGTGTGGGGTAAGGGCCAAGCTGGAAGGATGTAAAAAAGTAGAAAGAGAGATGTTTGCTTTGAAACTGCACAGTGGGCCCTGTCCCCAGACAGTCAGGATCCTGGCTTGTGACCCAGGCCTGAGGCTCACCAGCACAGTCTCCAAGCTCTTCCCCCCACTTCATTGTCAGCCCGAGCTTTCTTATCCACAGTGCCCCCAACACGGTGTCCCTTCAGCCTCTCACCTGTCCTCCCTTGCTTTGGACATTGTCTCCTCGACTATGTCCTTCCCTCCTGCATTTTAAGTTTGGAGATAAACAAAGCAAACCACATGAGCAAGAACTTCCTGGTTTCAGAACTGACAGCTCTTTCATCACAGAGTAGATAAACATAGAGTTTAAGACGAATTTTTTTTTCAAGGTAAAATGTCTTAGCTCTTGTAGACTGAGTGTGTTTGGGGTTGATTCACCATTGATAACAATTCTCCCATAACTGTTTGTCAACCTGGGCTCTACTTCCTGTCCTGAGCCTGCCCCCTGGGCTCTTAGGCCATTCAGCTGTAGAATCAAAACTTACATACAAAACCACCAGGGAATATTGGGATTTTTAATATGATCACTGTGATTGATGCTTCTAAAGGATAAAGAAATTCATAGAGCAGAGACTGGATGAATTGAATGGACATTTGAAAGCAATGCAGAAAAAAAAAAAGAAAGCAATGAAGAATAGGAAAACAAGTAGAATATTAACCCTAGGTAAGAGAAGATCTGTGCTTTTTAAAAAATGCTTATCATTATTTTACACATGTATTTTTAAATTTTTATAAATTCTATCATCCTTAGATGACCAAAGACCTTTTTATTATGTGAACTTCTGTTTTGCATATACCTAAATCCTTCAGAATGCAAACCTCTTACAAAGTGAAGAAAAACACTCTCAGAATCCTCTCAAAATAAACATACAATGATATTTCTCCAAAGAAATGCTTGTTACACTGTCGGAAGTCCCGCCAAACTCGGTCAATGCAATAGACCTGCAACTTGACTTTTTTTTTTTTTTTTTTGCTTTGCTTTATGTCTTTAATATTGTCATGCATTCAGTCCAGTACATTGGCATTACCTGCCGGCCCATTTTATCTTCACATTTGGATGGGTCTGAACTTACCAATATGACCTATGTGTGATTTTTCAGTGGAAATTTTAATGTGTCCTTCTTAAAACCTGGCACCAATTAGCAGAGACACTGCCTCCTTAACAAAGGAACAGGACTGGCTATGTATCCAGTCACACAGGCCCTGGCAGGTTTCCTAGCCTGGTTTGGGCCAGCATCGAGCATCGTCACATGTGACCGTCTGCATCACGCAGGTATGAAGGCCGCAGGAAGGCCCTTGCTGTGCCGTTTTCCACACACCCCGTGGGGCCCGAGCACTTCAGAGTGGGCTCACCCTCCCAGAAAATCAGCTTAAGCCTGGAAAAATGTCAAACACCTTTCCATAGTTTTCTTTCCACACACAAATGGAATAATGTGTTGTCAGTAATGAAGAACCCCCTTAAAAAGCAAAACAAAACAAAAAAGCACTTTCTCTTGAAATCAGACATCTCCCTAGGATACCATTTCCATATTAACTGAAGATGCAAAGAATCAAAGAGTAGAGTGTGCTTCACAGCTCCCACATATGTTGGAAATAAAACCTCCAAAAAGGTGAGTGCGCACCGTAGCACGCGCCCAGCCCATACCTCATCATTTGGGGCGGGCGGGAAATAAGGATTAAAGCACTGTGGTTCTGGTAATTCTGAATAAAGGCACCCTGACAGCCTGAGGCAGCTTTAGGAGAACAGGAATTTAGTTTTTCATCATCAGTATGCTTTGGTCCTAAGTATTTTCGGACTTTTACCATCACAGACGGAGGGGTATGTCTGCTGTGTTTCAAGTGCAATAAATAGATAACAAAACAAAAGTGATGACAATATGTGGCTGCTCAGACAAATTGTTTCAATGGTCTGTTGGGTATCCAGGGTACTGGATACTCCTAAATCAGAAGTCTTGGTTCTTGGTCTACGAGGAGAATTACCAAATACACTCCAGAGTGCCAGGCTTAAGAAGGTGCTAGAGAGAGCCTGCCCTTGACCTGCCTTGCAGTTTGGCTCACCGTGGGGGGCAGTAAAATTCCCTCCATGCCCTTTGGTTGCTGCTCCCGCTGCAGTAGACCTTGCCTAATACTCTACGACACCCCAAAACAGAGCATATGCTGAAGAGAGCATTCAGGGCCCACATCTCTGACACCACGGTCCCATGGAATTCCTTGCTCAATTGTATCGATTGCTAACAACCAGAGGGTTGGTTTTCAAATCCGATTTTTGTGCCAGCAGCACAACATCTCCCTCTGTAAGTAGGACAGATGCATCCCAGGAGCAGCGATGGTTGCTTCCCTGCTTCTGTCACTCGAGCGTGACAGGCGAAGCTTCCAGCAGGCCGCCAACGGCCACCTCCCCGCTTACAGAGGCAGGCGTTTGGGGCACCGGCCACATTTGTCCCTTGAGCTGCCAGCCAATGGGCTGACGCTGGGTGAGGCGACCAAGTGGCCCTGACTGGGCGAGCTGTGTGAAGCCGAGGCTCAGGCCTGGCAGGGCTGGGGTGACAGGCCTCCTCGCCGGGGCTGCTGGCAAATTTTTTTTTTTTTGACAAGTTTTTTATTTTTTTTATTTTTTTATTTTTTTTAAATTATGTTTCTTTTTTTTTAAACTTTTTTATTTTATTTTATTTTTTTATTTATTTATGATAGTCACAGAGAGAGAGAGAGAGAGAGAGAGAGCAGAGACAGGAGACACAGGCAGAGGGAGAGGCAGGCCCCATGCACCGGGAGCCCGACGTGGGATTCGATCCGGGGTCTCCAGGATCGCGCCCTGGGCCAAAGGCAGGCGCCAAACCGCTGCGCCACCCAGGGATCCCTTGACAAGTTTTTTAAATAAGAAATGGGCAAAGCCAGATTTCTTTTCAGAATCAAAATGCAGAATAAATGGAAAAAGTATGGTATTGAACCTTCACAAGTTTGAGCCTCCACAAATAATGAATGCAACCAAGGTCGACATTTTTAAGAGCCTTTCTACGTATGTACATTCCATCTTCTCCATCTCGGTTCCAAGTTTTACCTTCATCCCCAATTATGCCAATTCCTTGTTATTAAAAAAAAAAAAAAGGCCTTCCCAGTTATTGCCAGAAACTACTGTTGAAGCTTCCCCCCTCCACTACTCAGCAAAGTACAGAGAGGATGGAGGGTACTCTGAGCAGTACAGAGTCTTACGCAGCTCATGAGGACTGCTTAGTCCTTACATGAATCTGGTTGTGACAATTATCTGTTATCTCTGTGAGAAATGGGGGGAGTAAATTCCTAATAAAAGACACCAGGTACAAAGCAACATTTTATTTTGTTGTGATAAAAAAAAAAGTCACATTTTACAGATAAAATGTAGACCCCCGAAATACTGACACAGGCCTCCAGGTTGCCCCCTGGCCTCGGGAGAGTTGCCTCGTACTCCGCCTGCCAGAGAGCAGGCACTTCGCACACGTGTGTGAAAATAAGGCAGAGAAAAAAAAAAAAAGAAAAGAAAAGAAGGGAGAGAAATGAGGAGGGAGAAATAGGAATGTTTGAGGGAACCTTGCCCGTAAGACATGGGTGCCTTTCAGATCTTAGCAGCTGTAAAATAACTGTTATTTCTGGCCATGTGAGGAGCAGCCACGTTAAAAAAAACAAAAAAACAAAAACAAAAAACAAAAAACATAAAAAGAGGGCAAGTTAGCAAATGATCAAACTCCTAAAACATGAGGAAGATAAACCATAGTCAACATCTGATAAGATTGGGTCACTCATATGAGAGAATGATTTTTTTTTTTTTTATTGGCAAAAGGAGCCCTAGGCTGGGCTTCCAGAGGGGCATTTGCAGCCCGTAGAGACAAGCGCCCTGCATGAAGGAAAGGCCTGCCTGCCCCTGCGGCCGGGCTGGCCCCTGAAGGGGACTGTGCCCCCCGTCGTGACCTGAGGGGCACCTCAAGGTGCTGTTTGGCTTCCCCTCTGAAACAGTGACAGCAAAGTGCTGGGCTGTGTCCCCGTAGCCTGAGCCCATGGGGGGGATCGTCCCAGCAGGGCAGGCGGGCCCTGGTCTCTGGCTGGGCTGCTGGTTGGAGTCTTTCACGGCCACATGCGTGTGTTTGTCCCCCTGTCCCCAGGTGCAGAGAAGGCTACCAGGGAGTGCGGTGTGATCAGTTCCTGCCGAAAACGGATTCCATCCTGTCGGATCCAAGTAGGTCAAGCGGTTTTTCTTCTCTCTCTAAGATGGGAGCAGGGCTTGCTCTGCTGAAGGCGGCCTGGGGGGGCCGATGGGACAGGTGTCAGAGGCCGAAGCTGTCTCCGCACGGACTTCCCTGGGCCTGGGTCTGCATGTCTTCCACAAGGGGACCTGGTCTCTGGATGCAGCCCGCGGGGCTGCCTGAGCTCGCAGGTCCCCGCCAGGCCTGCTGTGACACCAGGGAATTGGCCTAACAGAATGTTCTGGAAGCTACAGTCTCCTGCTTCTTACACTTTGCTGGGGAATTCTTGAGGATATTAAGCCTAGGCCCGTTGACCATACTTATTAAGAAAATGTGCATATAAAACATCGCTTAAGAAGCATTCAAGGTGGGAAAACCCATGCTTAGCCACGCTGCTTGCTAGGACCACTGGTCACTGGACTGTTGGCAAATGGTTTGTTTTGTGTCATTCGTGGAAGGGGACGGTTTGCCACTGAGAAATATTGCTAGTCCTTTGCTCTTTGTCTCTCTATGGGGTAAAGGTAGCACTGGATGCAAATCTGACCAGTTGTAGTCAAATGTGAATTTTGTGCCTTATTCGTAAATAATCTTCTGTGCTTTCAATGACGGCTACAATTTGAACCACCTCTATGGAAAGGAGGGTTTTTTTTTCTTTTCTTTCTTTCTTTCTTTCTTTCTTTCTTTCTTTCTTTCTTTCTTTCCTTCTCTCTCTCTCTTTCTTTCTTTTTTCTTTTTTCTTTTTTCTTTTTTTTTATTGAATCAGCAGTTTAGTTCACTGAGGATAATGACAGGCATTTCCAAACCACAAAGGCGATGTTATGGTTTTCTGAATCCCAACCACGCATAAAACAGACTTCCACAAAATATTGCGTATTGACGACACATAGAAGTGGGCCCTGGGGGAGTGAGCACACCACTGGATAATGGACAGTTCTAGCCATCTTTCCACATCTTTTCAAAATGCATATTTTCATCTCTCCCTCCTCCCCTGCTGCTGAATTCCTACCTACATCTCCTTAGGTAAATGCAAAATTTTCTAAAAGGGAAAGGTGTGTATGATTTCACTTACTTTGCGTTTTATCTTGGCAAGATGAGCTATGATATAATCATAACTACTTGCTTCTTTACAAATTTAACTCTCCTTGAGACAAGTGGAGATTTCCTAAAATTCAGCCAGCAAGCAGGCTGTGAATTATCTCCTTCTCTGAAACCTGAGGCACAGGTGCCTAGAAATTACCCTGAGAGAGGACAGTTACTAGAGTGTGTTTTTTTGTTGTTGTTTCATGTTATGATCTTGCCACTCGCTAAGTGGGTGTCTCAAGCATGTGGTTGTGGTTGGAGACATGGATCTGGACTATTACAAAGCCCTTACAAGAATGGGCTTGTTGATTTTGTTCTTTATGCTTCTTTCTTTCTTCCTTTTTTTTTTTTTTTTTTTTTTTTGGCTGATATACCTAGTTTCTCTCTGTTTCCCCCTCTTCTTTCCTTCTCTGTTCTTCTCTTCCCTTCTGTTCTCCCCTTTCCTTTCTTCTGTTTTTTTTCATTATTCCCCCCTTTTAGGTTTATCCCTGTCCTTTCTTCCCCTCCTCTCCCCTCCTTCCTTCCTTCTTCCTTCCTTTTACTTTTCATATATGGCCCTGAGATATCTGTCTGCAGGTTACAGGACAAGGTATGGGGGCAGGGCTCACATATGGTGCAAAATAGGTGAAATAATCTCTCCTTAGACAATCTAACCAAACCCTTGCCATGCACTTAGATATCATAGTCCATCCCTACAAAATTGAGGATGAGGCCTCCGTAGGGACTGTGCTCCTTAAAAAAAAAGTGATCTCTAGCCTGAAAACCTCGGTCTTATATGCATAAAAATATTTAGTACAGCAGTATTTCCAATGGTGAAAAATGGACACATGCTGAAAACCAACAGCAAAACTATGTTTAAGTAAAATTTCATATGGCACATCTATAATGCTCTATTAAATAGCCATCAAAATGATACTTGTAAGAAATATCCCTATTGGGTGAAAAACAGCAACATAGAAAATTAGTGTCACATAAAATCGCAGTAGGAACATCCCTTGGTCCAATGGTAAGAAAAAGAAATGCTGAAAGGGAACTTTTAGTATTTGGATTGTGGAAGTATATGACTTTTTTTCTCCTTTTTCTCCTGTTTTCCTATAAAATGGCATAAGGTGTGTGAGTCAATACTCCAGAAAACCTTGAAATAAAGACTAAGAAAGAAAGCATTGAGAAACCCAATGAATGAGTCCCTAAGACAGAGTTTAAATGGGAAAAGCAGGGGTCCCTGGGTGGCTGAGTTGGTCAAGCATCTGCCTTTGTGGGGGCCTGGGATCCAGGAGTCCAGGGATGGAGCCTGGAGTCAGGCTCCCTGTTCAGTGGGGAGCCTGCTTCTCCCTCTCCCTCTGCTATTCCCCCTGCTTGTGCTCTTCCTCTCTCTCTCTCTCTCTCTCTCTCTCTCTCTCTCTCTCTCTCTTTCTCTGTCAAATGAATAAATACAATCTTTTAAAAAACTAATGAAAAAATAAATGGAGAAAATAATAAAATAAAATAAATGGGAAAAGCATTTATGCACGCATGCCTCCCTTGATTTAGGTGGTCCTGAATTCACTCCACAGGGTACTTTCTGAGCTCTTACCAGGGCCCGTCTAACCGGTCAGATTCTGTTAGTACAAAGGTACACACAGAGTTTAGGCTCCAAGGCCCCTGCGGTCTAGTGAGGGAGAGAAACACAGACCCGTAAGCATGGGCATGGTGCTGGCGGAGGCACTTACTCCTCTGTGACCTTGGCATGTTCACTAGGCCTCTGAACCCCAGACATTTCACCCAAAGAATGGCACTAATAATCCCAATAGGCACCCATCACCCAGACTGGCAAGAAGTCAGTGCCCGAGGAACAGCAGCCCCACGTTGACTCATCAGTAGAGTCACTGGTGTGTGTTGAGAGTTCTTGGGTGCCCGCCGCTGTGCCAGGGGCCTCACCTGGGTTATCTCACTAACCCCCCCCCAGTCACAGTCTAGCGGAGTCACTGGCAGCTGCTCACGTTTTATAGATGAGGAAATTAGGCCTCGGAGATGTTAAATAAACTTGCTCAAGGTCACGCAGCCAGTTAATGCTGGAGTCTAACTTCTGATCCAAGTGACTCGGGTGCCTGAGCATTGGAGTGCGGGCCTCTTCCCTTCCTCCCCGCCGCCCCCCCTTCCCTGGTTTCCACTATGACATTTATCACTCTCAATTTCATTGACTGAAACTCAATGACCTGCAGCAAACATTATTCTAAGGAACAATATTTGCACAATTTTCATATCTTAATGCAGCAACTTGAGCTTCCATAGAGATTTAAATCCCTAATGAAATTTTCTTGTCAAAATTCTTGCTGAAGGATCGTTTAATTTGCTGCACATGATATCCTCGAATGACTCTGCACTCAGGAAATAAGCTTCCCTCCAACAGCCTCCCTCTTTCTCCTCCTCTCTCCTCTTTCTTCTCTCCTTTCTTCCTTCCTCCCTCTCTCCCCATTTGCTGAATGTCTGCTCTATTTTAGCGAAATCCGTTAACAGCGGGTTAGAAACCTCTGTCATTCTATTCTCCCCCAGGCAAGGCAGGGTTGTTTTGGAAATGTGTGTCCCTCCAATTAATTTTAAAAAATAAATAAAACCCCAGCATGCATGCATTTGGGGAAATAATGCCTGGATGTCCCCATGAGAAAGCTCAGTCACTGCTATGACCATTGTCTATACCTGGCCCCAGGGTGAGTCCTCAGACCTGCTCTTCTAAACACTCATTTTTTACCCCTAAAGAACCTGTGATTAACCCCACTCGGGAAGACCTGTATACATGCATGAATCAAACTTCTAGCTGCCTTGATGTCAGATTTTGAAAAAATATCTTCTGCATCACTGTCAGGTGAATTGAACCCTCATACGTATTCAGTGTGTGGAAGCCACATTCTGATCACAAGGATGAATAGTGAGCACGGGTTCAGGAGGAAGGTGGTAAGAGGAACAGACTTGGGTCAGGATCCAGAGGACCTGACTATGGAGGAGCCAGCAGCCGTCGATGTGGCATCCTGGACCTGCATATGTCTACACTCTGCTTCCTACAGCCAGCAACACCCAGGAAGCCCTACAATCTTCTACACATTTTCTCATTGAATTGCTTCACAACCAGTCCCCCTTCCCACAAATGCAGGATCAACCTATCACTCCTGTCCGTTTTTCACTTCCTAAACACCTGCACCCACCCAGTCAGGCACCATCTTCCACCTTGAAGCAGAAAACCAGATGGAACTGAAGAATCATAAGCTGGTCAAGGATGCAGGCAGACATTTTCCGGAGTGTCCTCTCTTAGGAGCGCATGCCAACCTGAGTTATCATCAAGATCCTCATGTCATCACTGGCCGGGGGAAGCATGAGAAAAGCTCCAGAGAATGGAATCAGAACGGAATCAAAGAATGGTGTAGGGGAGAGAAGATGCGATCTACAGCGAGGGTCCTCCTCACACGTGGCTGAAGGTAGCCGTTCCCAGACGTAGCTGTGACCTCCTCTCTCCACCAGCATCTAACTCCCAGTGTCCCCAGGGCTGGCCACAGGTGACAAGTCTGCAGGCCCAGGATTTGGCGTGGGGCTTTTATAGCTTACGCTCTCAGAGTCATCTAGTCTCCCCCAAGGGAGGATGAGGAGAACTTCTGGATCCAGTCCATATGAACCGTTGCAAAGAAAAATGTCCGTGATTTACAGATCTAATAAAAATTCAGCAGTTCACGGATGGGGCGCCATCCAACCTAGCAGATAAAAAAGATCCCTGAAGAGCTATAGAAGGTGAGTGATTTTGAGGACCAAAGTGAGTAGGAATGAGGAAGTGATACTGGGATTTTGCTAACTGGTTAAAGCAGGGTTACTTACCTTATATGAAGCAAAGGAAAATCTTAAAGCCTGGTCAGGTAACTTGGGCTGAGCACACAAGTACGGATTGGTT